ATCTAAAGATTCTTTAGTTATATCTAGTAGGTTTTATAAGTATATTATTAGTATTAATAAATCTTTTACTTAAGAATTATTCTAAATATCTTAAATCTAGTAAGATTCTTATATTATACTTATTTAATTTTATAATAATTATAATTAATTTATTATTTTTTATAAAAAATAGGTTTACTTCCTTCTAGTACTATTTATAGTATTATTATAAGATATTATTCTAGTTTTATAGTCTTATAGTAGAATATATAGTTCTTAATCTTATAATTATAATTATTAAGTTTTATATAGTTTAGGTATTCTTATTCTTCCTCTATATAGTTATAATTATTTTTTCTAAATAGATATCTAAAGTTAGGTCTTTCTAATACTCTTAGTAACTATAGTATCTAGTACTATTTATACTTAAGGCTTTAGTATTAAGTATAATCCTTATTATAGTATTTTATCTAATAGATTTCTAAGTATACTTTCTTACTTAACTAATAATAGTATTAGTAAGAGTATTATTTTATATAACCTAGAATTCCACTATATAAACTAGTTCCTTATTTATTTAATACTCTTTTATATTTTTTAGTAAATTTAATATTAACTTTTCTATATTTAGGGTATTCTAAGAATATCTAATCTTTATATTATTTATATTTTAAGATATAATCTTACTATACTTTTCTAGATTCTTCCTAGTAGATTATATAACCTAGTAAGTAATTATAAGATTTATCTTTCTTAAATTTACTATTACTTTTAAGTAGGGTTTTAGTTTAAGTTTTATAAGTCTTATAGTAATTTATTACTATTTTATTACTAATCTAAACTATTAAAGAATCTTAGTAGAACTTCTTCTTTAAATCTAGGATTTTATAATTATTTATTAGTTATACTACTTTTATAGTCTATAGTAAGGTAAGAGGGTATTCCTTTATTAATACTAAGCTATATCTCTTATTAGAACTTATAGAGCGTCCTTTATTATACTTTAACTTAATATCTTTAATAATTTTATAGAGGCCTATAATTCTAGTATCTCTATTCTATATCTTATATACTTTATTTTATTTCTTTATCTAATTATTAACCTAATTATTAGGTTAGATTATATAATAGAGTAATATACTAGATACTTCTTAACTTATATCTAGAGTAACTATTACTTTATCCTATAGTCTTTCTTTTTTAAGTATAGTAAGTATAATATATTTATTTTATCTTATATACTTCCTAGATTAATTTATTTATATTTCTAACTACTTATTTAGTTTTCTTTGATTCTTTAGTTATAGTAAGGGTAAGTTATTTAAATCTATAACTAAGATATTTATAAATAAACTTATTTTTTTAGATATTATATTATTTCTTTCTTAGAGATTTCTTCTATTATATCTATTTTATTCCTATTATTATTTATTATAGTAATTAGTTTAGTTATTATAAAGATAGTATTAATTTAAAAGTTATAAATAGCTAGTCTATTCTTTTTATACTTTAATTAATAATTCTTCTTAATATATCTAATTTTTCTATATCTATAATACTTTTCTTTAAAGTATTATTTCTTATATAGTCTATCCTTCTATCCTTTAGTAGTAATAGTTATATTTATTTTAATATTCTTATTACTATTCTTTTTCTAATCTTAGTTTTTATAGTAGTTTTAATAATTATCTTTTACTTAATCCTATTATTTCTTTTTATAATAATATTTAATTAGTTAGCCCTTAATTCTAGATATAATATTAATTATTTTATTAAGTATTTTAGCTTTCTTCTAGTATATTATAGTATCCTTAATCTTAGGTTTAAAGATATTATAATACTAAGAGTAGTATGCTTTATCTTTTTAATTAAGATTTAATATAATTTAGTAAAATTTTATAATAAGTTCTCTAATACTTATCTTTAGTCCTTAGTATAGGGTGTATATTTATTATTTAGTAGTTTTCTTAGTATTAGAGTCTCTAAAGGCTTTAGTAATTTATCTTTTAAAGTCTATATAAGAGTTAAAGACTTTATTAGTACTATCTTTCCTATCTATATATCTTAGGTTCTCCTAAAAGTCCTATATAAATAGTTTAAATTAGTTAAAAGTAGCTCCAGTAAGATAAGTTCTAGTAAAAAGTACTTTATTACTTTTAATAGTACTAATTAAGTTATTAATCTAGAGCTATATATTTATAGAGGTTAAGTATCTTCTTAAGTTAGTATACTTACTATTAAAGACTTTAGCTTTATTTATCTTAATTTCTTTAAATATCTTATCTTATCTTAGTTAAGAGGTAATTATTAATTCCTTTAAGCTTTTTAATCTTTTTAAGTATAGTAATAAGTTATTCCTTAAGAGTTAGTACTTTTATAAGAGTTTCTTTTAAAGCTAAGGTAGCTTATTAAATAGTCTTATCTTTATTATTACTTATAGTAGATAGTTAATATAATCTTCTCTTTTATAATAAGAGTCTATTACTATTAGATAAGTCTAACTAATCCTACTTAAGATCTAAATAGGCTTAAGGTATTCTAATATTAAGAGAGAAGACTACTTCTTAATAAACTAAGAAGGTAAACTAGGTTTTCTAAAAGATAGGATAGCTTTAATTATAAAAGTAATAAATAATAGCTAAAACTAATTATATATAATAATAAGTATTCTTAAATACTAAGTTCTCACTATAGCTTGTCTATACTAAACATAGACCTAGCTATGTTCCTATTATAGACAAGCTATATAGTGCATAGCCTATCTATACTTATAACCCTAATTCATCTTAGCATCATAGCCTAGTGTCAGATAAGTCCAACCGATCCTGCTTAAGGCCTGGAAGGGCTTAGGGTATTCTTATATTAATATAGGAAGACTACTTCTTAATAAACTAAGAAGGTAAACTAGGTTTCTAAAAGGTAGGATAGCTTTAATTCTAAAAGTAATAGATAGTAACTAAAACTAATTAGATATATAAATAAGTATTCCTAAATACTATTCTTTAATATAGCTAATATAGCATCCCTACTATATCTACTTTATTAGTAGATATATTAAATATATCTCTTTTACTATATTATAATTATCACATAACTCTTAGTATATATTAATACTCCTGTATTACTATATTACTTAGATTAATCTTGTTCTATCCTATTAATGTGATAGCACGTTAACTGTAATCTTATGAGGTAAATCCATTAGCTGACAGTATCCCATGTCTTAGCGCGGCTCTCTGACACCTAGCTATGATTAGTCTCGGCGCATTGTTCTTCCATAGTTATCATGGTGCTAGGCTGTGGCACAACAGATCCATTGGCTGACAATGCCCGCGTTCTCTGACATCTATATTAGTAAGAGTAGGGGTTATAAGGTTTTTCTTAGAAGCTAAAGTAAGCTATGCTACTTTACCTTTACTATTACCTATAGTAATAATAGATCATGTTTTCTTCTTAATTAAAATAAGGGTCTATTACTATGAGATAAGTCTAACTAATCCTACTTAAGGCCTAGAAGGGCTTAAGGTATTCTTATATTAATATAAGAAGACTACTTCTTTATAAATAAAGAAGGTAAACTAGGGTTTTTAAAAGATAGGGTAGCTTTAATTCTAAAAGTAATAGATAGTAATTAAAACTAATTATATATATAAATAAGTATTCCTAAATACTATTCTTTAGTATAGCTAATATATTATTCCTACTATATCTACTATATAGGTAAATATATTAAATATATTACTTCTACTATATTTTCATTATTATGTAACTCTTAGTATATATTAATACCTCTATATTACTATATTGCCTAGATTAACCTTATTCTATCTTGTTATTGTGACAGCACGTCAACTGTAATCTTACGAGGTAAATCCATTGGCTGACAGCATCCCGTGTCTTAGCGCGGCTCTCTGACAGACTAGTATATAAAAGGTAATGAATTAATATTTAATGTTTATAATGTTATTATGGGGGTTACTACTTGCTATTTTAAGCTATGCTTAAGTAAATAGTTAACTTTGATGAGTTGATTAATAGTTTTTATTGAATGTTTTTGACACATCTTTTTATTTTATTTATTAATAAAATTTAGGAATAGCTTTAATACTTAATTAAGTTAAATTAAAAATGTATTAGTAACTAAAAAAAATAAAGGCTATAAGCTTAGATTAAATAATTAATCTATATTATATAATGTATAAAATTTACTAATAACTATATAAGGAGAAAGGGTTTAAAACTATTCAATTTAAAAAATAATCCTAGGAGTTATATTACCCCTGTCTAACTAAGACTATAGATATATATATTTATTACTAAATGAATAATACCTATAATATTAGCCAATGTCTCCGATGAGCACCACCCTTAATAGGTTAGACATAGCTCTCTGCACCGTCTATTTGGTGACAATAGTTGTTTTAGTAGCCCGTATGTACATATATATAATCGTGTATGGATGCGTGGGTGGGTATGCCAGGAATATCATAATTACATGCCAAGATCCAGTTAATACATAGCCATGGCAATGAGTAGAGCATACTATAGAGCCAGTCATAAGTTATATAATAGCACCAACCATAGAACAATGGGACCATGTCAAGATAGATGCTTAAAGAACACTTATGCCGCACCCCACCTGCATCGCACACTGCATGCTGATTCGCTCGCAACAACCTGGACCTTCCCGAGTACTCCGTACTGATACCGCTTTACCCCACGCGCAGTGATCACAGATCACACCTCCAAGTCATCCCCAAGGTAAGCTGTGTATTCAGGACCAACTCGTACTGACTTGCCCAAATGACCCAGGCGACCGCCACGTACCAGAAATCGATACACAGCGGGAAGTACAGGACAACAATCACCAAGAAGCCCCAAGAACCCACCCGCAAAACACCGGGGAGCTAGCAATACACATTCCATGACGGATGGCTGCGTCATAATCACAAATACGACTAGGACTTACGAACCACAACGCACGACAGCGCCCAACCACCCATAACTGGGCGATATCAAGCATGAACACAACAGACATAGAGCGATGCAGGAAACGAATAATTCAGTACCTATGGGACCCAGAACCAAAAAATGACGAAGACCCGGGCTCTCCCATATGGTGTCTCGGGACATGCTATGCACCACCTCAGCACAATGGCACTGTCGACGATCAGACAGGTAGGTTCAAACAAGGAAATAAGGACAGGTGGATATCATAGTGCTAACCCAGCCAGCGCACGATGATGGGCGTTTTCCGACCACGGCGAGCGTGAACCAAAACGAGTGGCCAGAGGCGTTCCTCTCAGACTTCGAATCCAAGATATGGATGACGTACCGGTCAAACTTCACACCGATACCCAAGGATCCCACACGGGATGGTAGCACATCGTTGACCCTCAGTGTACGCCTGAGGAGCCAGCTTCTGGAATCACAGGGCTTTACAGCGGACACGGGATGGGGCTGTATGATAAGATCGGGTCAGAGTCTGCTCGCCAACGCAATGGCTATCTTGTCTCTGGGACGTGGTATGTTTCATTGGAAACTCATGCAGCCCACCCCCAACAATTAGAACCCAGCTAGACAAAAGCTGACGCCGCACATAGATTGGCGCCGCAGTGACGAGCCCACAGAGGAAGTCCAGGTACTGTCACTTTTTGCGGACACCCCAGAGGCCCCATTTTCCATACATAATTTTGTCAAGTACGGGTCGGACTTCTGTGGCAAACACACTGGAGAGTGGTTTGGCCCATCGGCCACTGCCAGGTGCATACAGTAAGGACCCAGGCCGCGAAAGTAGGCTGAAAACTCACTGAGAATGTAGAGGTCTCACGACGAATTATAAGCAATCGATGCTCCAAGTATACGTCACAGACGATAACTCAGATGTCTATCAGGATAAATTCATGAGCGTGTCCAGGAACGACCAGGGCATCGTTTGCCCGACGCTCATACTCCTAGGACTAAGACTAGGCATTGACCGTGTCACAAACGTCTACTGGGATGGATTAAAGACCATGCTCCAGTTTCCACAGTCCGTGGGAATAGCCGGGTAAGTTGCACCCAGGATGAAAATACATATTATAGCCGCCGGTTATTGATGCCGTTGAGCAGTGGACGCCCATCAGCCTCCCATTATTTTATCGGCGTTCAGGGATCGCAATTCTTCTACCTTGACCCGCATACCACACGCCCCGCGGTCCAGCACACTTCAACAGGGGACCCATACACGAAATATGATATTGATACCTATCATACCCGTCGACTGAGAAGACTCCACATCAAAGACATGGATCCTAGTATGCTGATCGGATTTCTGATCAAAGACGAACAGGACTGGGAGGACTGGAAAGCCCGCATTGAGTCGACCCAAGGAAAGCCCATCATCAACATACACACCGCGAGTGACGATTTTTCATTTCAAGAACGATCTGAAGCGCTTGATGAAGTCGAAGCATTCGACGATGATGAGTAGCGACCCAATGATTCGCAGGTTAGGAAAGATACCACAGAGAGCGAGACGGGCAAATAGTAGTAGGTAGACAGACAATGAACTTATGCAAGCATTGTATTCGAATTCTTTCGGAAGGTTAATTATACAACCAGTTCCTGAACTCGAGTTATGATACATCGCATCCATGCCTCCAGAGAGTAACTGAAGGCGTTGAAAAAGACCATTTGACCCGAGGGGAAATAAAACAAATAGGAAAAAAAGACCATCCCATGACACGTTAAAAATCCCGCGAACACCCTTTAACCCGCCGCCTCAAAACCATTCAAGAGATGACGAGTAACGAAACAAAAAAAAAAAATATCCGTGCGATTAAGAAAGGAAACGATAAAAGTTCAGAGAAACGCCTATTTGGCAGAGGAAGAGTACTTCGTAACGGCCTTGGTGCCCTCAGACACGGCGTGCTTGGCGAGTTCACCGGGAAGGATCAACCTCACACTAAAGCAATGGTCAGATCATGCCGAATCTGGGGAAAATAGCGATAAACTTACGAGGTCTGGATCTCTCGAGATGAGATGGTTGACTTCTTGTTGTAAGCGGCCAGCTTGGAAGCCTCAGTAGCAACGCGCTCGAAGATGTCTTCACCGGCAAATTAGCACCCATTGGTCAAGTGTGAAACGCGAAGCCAGACATACCGTTGACGAATGAGTTGAGAATAGACATGGCACGAGTGGAGATTCCAGTGTCGGGGTGAACTTGCTTAAGAACTGCGACAAGTTAGAACGCGTCCGTTGCACGTAAACAGTCGAAAGACTCACCCTTGTAGATGTAGGAAGAGTAGGTCTCCTTCCTGGTCTTTCCGCGCTTCTTCTTGTCGCCGGAGGCAGCGGCGGCGGTCTTCTTTCCGGCTTCCTTCTTCTCGGCGGGGGCCTTGCCAGCAGGAGCCTTGCCACCAGTGCTAGGCTTCTTCTCAGCGGCTTTGGGAGGCATTTTCAAAAGTGGTGACGGGGGTTTGGTTTTGATAAATTATGAAGTTGAGGAGTATTGATGGAAATGCGAACACAGGTCAGCGCGTGGATGTGGAGTGGTGATGAGTAGGAAGGTGAAAGTAAAGGATACGCGGTGACGAGGGAGGCGCGCTACTTATACTCGGCTCCAAACAGCTGGTTGATCTCAGGAGCGCGAAGGAAGCAGAATTTCAATACCGTTCCCGGTCTGTATGATTTGTATGATTAAGGCGCGCGAAAGCTGTGAAACGCGCCCGGATTGGCGGGCGGCCCACCATCCGTTTACGGTACGGTATGAGACAGATTAGCCACGACGCTTTGCTGGATCTGGTATCGGCGGTCGCATGACGACACTAGCTCGACGGGGACACTGGCCGATGATCCGCCCACTGATTGGCTGTCCCCGCTAAGCGAGAGGGTGATCCAAAACGCGTCTGGACTGCTGGGCGTCACCCTCATGCTGGCGTTATATATGCCCTTCACTCCATCACGATAGCGTCCGTTCCCCATTTCTCCCTATCGTTCAGTGCCCATACCTTACACCACTTCGCCTACGCGCCGTCATCAAAACTCAACTCATCTTCAACACTTTATATTCTCACCCTTTTCCAACAAACAAAATGACTGGAGGCAAATCTGGTGGCAAGGCTAGCGGCAGCAAGAACGCGCAGTCGTATGTTTGCATCCCCATCATCCATGAAACTCGTCTAACAGAGAATCTAGTCGTTCTTCTAAGGCTGGCCTGGCTTTCCCCGTCGGTCGTGTTCACCGTCTTCTGCGCAAGGGCAACTATGCTCAGCGCGTTGGTGCTGGTAAGTTCGAGCGGGAACCTGATTGACATGATCCAATACTGATTTTCCTGACAAGGTGCCCCCGTCTACTTGGCCGCCGTCCTCGAGTACCTCGCTGCCGAAATCCTTGAGCTTGCTGGAAACGCCGCTCGCGACAACAAGAAGACCCGTATCATTCCCCGTCATCTCCAGCTTGCCATCCGAAACGATGAGGAATTGAACAAGCTTCTGGGACACGTTACCATCGCCCAGGGTGGTGTTCTCCCCAACATTCACCAGAGTAAGCAAATTTCTGGCCCTTGTGTTCTCACGACCTCTCTAACATGCCGCAGACCTTCTTCCCAAGAAGACCCCCAAGGCCGGAAAGGGTAGCCAGGAGCTGTGAACTGTTTTTCTGTTTTATTTGCTTGGGGTTTGTCATTCGGCGTGGTTTGGTTCTCTTACTGATATGATAACGGGGTTCTGGACTGGGCACGTTTATGGCTCTTTTTAATTTCTTTGCGTTTTGTTTTTACCGTTGTAAATTATGTCCACGGGCATGGAATGATACCGACAACTTCAAATGACCTAAACTTATGAACTGTCTTAGCATATTTTAATTCTTTCGTGGGCAGGGAGGTCACTCGAGCTGTGGCCTATGGCGCGCTCGAAATGGTCGTGGCAGAACCATTGTTTGTTAGCCTGAGCATTGCTCAGGAGAGCAATGCTCTCGCGTGAAGCCTGCTGCAAGACACGGAATCATGCAAAACATCAAAACTGGTACCAAGGAGTAAATATATTGATTGTTATTTGTACATTCACGATTCGAACTCCTGGGTCTCTGCAAAAGGATTGGCTGCTCTAAATCTCAATGCGCGTCGGTGTCTGGGGCATCTAATAGGCGAATTAGTACTGCAATAGATACCCGTCATTTGGGCGACAGAAACAAGATACTCACAAGGTAATTGGCGAGCGGGGAGGTTTCTCTCGTATTTGCTTCCTGTTAGGCATGTAAATATATGCGCGCGTATTATGGGTCCCTGGAGTCACATACCACCAGGAGCTGTCGGGGCCCGGTAGGGATCGGGATGCTTCCAGGTTTCTAGTAGCTTTTCTGTCTCTCGCAATAGAACCTAGCAACGTTAGTGAACGAAGGCTTGCCAAGTCTGACGGTAGCACATACCTTTTGTTGCCGCGGGTCGCGAACGTCCTTATTCGCATCGAAGAGGGAGCGAATGTAGACTGCTTGCCCTTTCCACACATGTCTGTGGACAGCCCAATCTAGAGCGAGCTTCAACGAACGCCGGTAGAGGGATCTACTCAGTTGCAAGGTCAGCATACGGTTCGCCCCGGGTGTTGTGGCGTACTTACGTGACGGTGTTGGCGGACATTATATGATTGTGCAGGAATTGGTCAGGTTGAGCAAATCGAAAATGGTTGTGAACGGGGTGCTAGCAGAGCATCAATCACCTCGACACTGCGGTTGGAGATCACCACTGCGAAGAGGGTTGTGCTAAGCTGGTGTCTCTGGCTCTCCGGAACGCCGTAGTAATAATATTCCGTCACCTGCCGGCTTCAGACGTAATGTTGTTCTTGAGGGAATTTCCGGTACTTCTCGGCCCGGGCTGGACTAGCTTTGCTTGCTATACCTGACTTTCGGCCACTCTTCACTGTATCCCTTCACCCGAATTCTTGTTTGACGTCGGTCACCCTCATTCTTGTTTGTTTTCTTTATTCGTCCCTATCCAAAAGTCATCATGGCTTCTCGATTACCACTCCGTCAATTTTCCGAGCAGCGCGTGAGGTGTATCGCGCGCGTGCCCCGTGTTCCCCGTCAGATATGTTGCAGCAGGACATTCACGTCGGCGAAGGGTTCTGAAGGCGTCAAAGCCAGTGCTAGGTCAATCCACGGCTTACAGTCAATTTCCAGTCTAAGGTAAACAGACTCCGCTCTCGCTAGCTCTCATCAGACACGGAGGACTCATTACCTTGCAGGAACACTTTCTCCAAGCTCAATGTTATTCCAATCGGCAGTTCTCAAATTCGCACATATGGTAATGCACACCTCCACCGCTCTGAGAGCTCCGCTGATTATCCGTTCAGCGGACACCATTGTCAAGGTTCCTCAAATGGCAGAGTCCATTACTGAGGGAACACTGAAGCAATTCTCAAAACGTATGCTCGCTTTTTGTGCGCCCGTGAAAACTTTTGCTGAACCTTGCGCTAGAGATTGGAGATTTTGTCGAACGCGACGAAGAAATCGCAACAATTGAGACGGATAAGGTTTGTTCTATAGTCGGGGTATTGTCAGGTCCCGTACGGGCCACTAACACCTTTTAGATCGATGTGTCGGTCAATGCTCCCGAATCTGGGGTTATAAAAGAGTTTCTGGTAAACGAAGAGGATACGGTTACCGTCGGACAGGACCTCGTCAAACTTGAGGCAGGCGGCGCTCCAGAGAAGAAATCGGAAGATGCGACGGAGAAGCCCAAGGAACCCGCTGCCACCAGCTCAGAGCCCGAACAACCGAAGGCGCCGGAGCCAAAACAATCCTCTTCTACTCCTGAAAAGGCCCCATCGTCCCCAAAGACTCCTTCCCCAGATGCATCTTCGAAACCATCACCGCAGGCCTCAACAAAATTTCAACCCTCGGAGGAACCGAAATCTGCCTTGGGTGGCCGCGAAGAAAGACGTGTAGGCCGCACACCTTTTTTTTTTGAAGTGTTTCACTGATAGGAGGTTGGGCGCTAATTGACATTCTAATTTAGGTTAAAATGAACCGTATGAGGCTGAGGATCGCTGAGCGTTTGAAGCAATCTCAGAACACGGCTGCTTCACTTACTACCTTCAACGAGGTTGACATGTCTTCACTCATGGAATTCCGCAAACTTTACAAGGATGATGTGCTCAAGAAGACCGGTGTAAAGCTAGGTTTCATGAGTGCCTTCTCCCGTGCATGCGTCCTGGCCATGAAGGATGTACCTGCCGTCAACGCGTCAATCGAGGGTCCGAATGGCGGGGATACCATTGTCTATCGCGATTACGTCGACATCAGTGTGGCTGTTGCCACGGAGAAGGGTCTCGTCACCCCCGTGGTCCGCAACACGGAAACTATGGATCTCGTAGGAATTGAAAAGGCCATCGCCGATCTTGGAAAAAAGGTCAGACCCAGACAACCCAACCCGGCTGGGCCCTAGCTAATTGACGGCCAGGCGCGCGACAACAAGCTTACCATTGAGGACATGGCGGGCGGTACTTTCACAATTAGCAACGTGAGTAGACATTGGTGCGCGCGTATGACTCGTCGAAACTGATTGGCTTTGCAGGGTGGGGTGTTCGGATCCCTTATGGGCACACCCATTATCAATCTGCCTCAAACAGGTATGTTGTCTTTTACCAGCGTGATGGCAACGCTAACAACCTCTCAGCTGTTCTTGGACTCCATGCGATCAAGGACAAGCCTGTCGCTGTCAACGGAAAGGTTGAGATTCGCCCGGTATGTTAAGTTGAGCTGCTTCATTCGTTTTCCTTCTCTAATCCCCCTATCAGATGATGTACCTCGCCCTCACCTATGATCATCGACTTTTGGATGGCCGAGAGGCTGTCACTTTCCTCATCAAGGTAAAGTTTATCTTTTTTTATCAGAGATCTTTCAATGCTAACAATAACCCAACAGGTCAAGGAGTATATCGAGGATCCCCGCCGTATGCTTTTGGGTTAGGTTGACTATTCTAGACAACAACCCACCCCTGCACCCCCCCACCG